GACGTCAAGAAACCCAGAAACGTCTTCAAGCTGGACTTGAATCTTCCGGCTCCTGATGAGGATCATGATCACTCGGAATCCAAGTTTCCTTTTCACTCCAAAGACTCCGTCCTTGTCTTCTCGGCGTCTCCTTTGGTGGATTGTCATTACTGATGAAGTATCTCGTAGGTTAACTAACCTCTCCGAGAGACAAACTTGTGTCCACCATATTTTTTATATTCTCTTTTCGCTCAGGTTAACGTGTACCAGATAATCAGATTAATGCCCATTCTTTCCATTCTTTTAATATTGCTCCGTTTGATTCGTCTGTGTATAATACGCAATCAAAATTGAATTTCTTGGGATGAGCGGCTCAAGAGTAGGTTCGCAATCTCTTCATTGGCTGGTTTTGATGAGCAAGTTATTTACGAGAGATATCAAAAGGAGAAGAAACTCAGCAGTCCTGCAGGAGTTCGCCACTGTCCCCAACACAAACCTCGAAACCAAAGTAGTGGATTGCATCATCTTGGATGTCTTTCCTTTTCGAGAAAGGCGAGTCCCTCTGATCACAAAAAATGTTACCAATATAAGTATAATACTTGTGCTACTTTTTAAAATGAGTGTACTGTAGATATACAGAGCGATTTTAAAGTCTAATATTTTAAATTAACTTGCCATCACTTAATTGAAGGAAAAAAATTTCATGCAGACCAAGTTAAAAAAACTATTTTATTTTTAAGAATCTCCAGTGTTAACTAATTGAATAAACACTTATAAATTTTCATATTTCTAAATTTAGGTATAACTTACAAATTCTTGTAGTTTAATTGTTAATTTCCCTTATGGCAAAGTTACATAGATATAACTAATTTTTTTAGTGAAAAAATTGGGCCAGTCGAAAAGTAATTCTTTTTTTCATATTTTACAGAATCTGTGCATAGATTGTACGTGGATGGTACATTTTATATTGATGAACTATTTTAATTTTTAACTCCAATTCGCCGAATCACCGTAGATTTTAATTTTGAGTGGGAGACTAGCCTGTACGTAGTGTCATTCAGTTATGCTCCAACATATTCATGCTAATTTAGCAAGAAAAATATAGTCAATTTATGTGAGACATGTTTGTCAACGATCATCACTTAGTCAACGTTTTGACTTAGAATGCAAAAAAGAAAGCATGTGTCACGCCTTGAAAAATTTGATGTTATCGGCATAAGATATATGCACAAACATACATTCTTTAAATCTTGATTAAAGAAACTTTAATATAATATTTTAGTTCATTTAAAATAGGATATAAAATCATTGTTAAACATTTTTTTCACAATTTACAACATCAACTCAGTAAAGCTCCTCAATAACAATCAATCAGCACAATATAGAATCAGGACTCTAACTGTAAATTATGTGAAACACCTAAAACATTATGTATAAAAATATAATATATAAATTATAAATTTACATTAAAATAGAAATTACCCAAAATGGCGTCTCAACTTAAGTCTAGAAGCAAAATTCCTCCAAGAATCTAATGGAGATACAGGGTCAGCTATGCTATCTGAGACCAAAATATTTTTCAGTGATTAACGTCCCAATCATAACATTTTGTAGATTCAAAATGAATAAAATACAACATATATATAAATTAAAGAGAAAGCAATTCAACGAAATCAAATTTATATGCTTGAAATAAAAGTTCTATATAACTTCAATATCAAGAAACTTAAAATCTATAATAATAAGACAGCTTTAAAATTTAATCTTGATAATTCAAAATAATTAAATAAATGCATAAATAAAATAACAACATTTGCTAAAAAACTATTAGAGTGTGAAATCATCAATTAATTAAAAATTCAGAACAATTCACAAATATGGACACACGGTTCACGAGGATAAATAATCAAACGCGATTTATGCCACAAAGACAAATGTAAATGCACATTCTACGAGAGTAAGTAATCAAATGCAGCCGAAGCCACGAAACAAATGTGGATACACAATCTACGAGGGTAATACTAACCAAACGCGACTTGAAGCCATGAAACAAAAGTGAGTACGATGCTCACAAATAACCATTCTTCCGTTCCACGTGCATTGGCTATCGTACCGGACTAGCACCTCCTATAAGTACCCTGCTAGTTGGGTGTACCATGGAATGCTAAGGACTAACGGAACTGCTGTTAGCAACTAGTGTTCTGTATAAAATCTCCTCCAAATTCATTTTCAAACATACGAAAAAGTCACATTGTTAAAATGCAATTTCCATTATCAAAATCAAACTCGCATGAAGAGTTTTGAACATTAAAAACTTACCAGAATAAAACTTCATAAATGATACCCATACTTGCATTTATTGAAGAACCAAAATTATCAAAACTGATAAAAATAATTCCATCAATCTTAAAAACATCCTTTGTAAGGAAAAATAAATACATGTCATAATTTAAATATTTTCCCACATCCTTTTATAATTTCTTAGAATAAAAATAATTTAATTAAAATCATATAAAATATGTAATATAATTGTTATTAAATAATTCAAATAAAATATTTTTTTAATAAAAATTAATTATAAATTAGTTGAAATATTATTCAGTTATCTGTAAAATTTGTAAGTGTATAATTTATTTTCAAACCTCTAGGCCAATGTTCTGTCCTAAAATTCCTCAAACAGCAATGACGAGAGCAGAGAAAGAACAGGGAAGCGAGATGCTAGCTGGACGAACAAGGAGAAGGAAGAAGATGATGATCCTCACGCATCTATATTACGACGGACACACACACCACACTGGCAACTAGAAATGGAAGAGGAACATTGGTTCGAAGCTTCTGGACGAGCTCCCTCTTGCTGTCTCAACTGAATTTTCCACCGCACCTCAGGACGACAAAACGGAGGAAGAGCAAGAAGGAGAAAAGGTTGGCCGTGTGAGCTGAACGAGGGAGGGTCTGTTGCAACCGAAGCAAGAAGAAAGAACAACGACCAACTACACAGAAGAATGAAAGGTTGACTGACTGAATCACAGCTAGCATCAGCGAGAAGTTGGCAACGTAAAACAGGGGAGAGGAAGGAAGAGCAAGCCCAACAAACCAGCACCTTAATCGATCTCCTTGTGACGTCAAACTCATGGCAGCTTGAACTCCATGCCAACAACCAACTAGGAACGAAGAAGGAGAGGAGAGGACGACAATGAATGAGGGAAGGAGGAGATGGAAACCGACAGCACAAAGGAAGGAAAACTCACAGCAGTGCTCCCATGGCAGCACACCAGTAGAGGAAAAAAAAAATCCAAGCGCACCTTCAATGGCCAGAGATCGAAAGGATGAAGGAAGAGGAAGGCAGTCTCGCGAGCTCTCGAAGGTTCCAAAATGTAGAGGGAAAAGATGATGAATAAAATCTGATGGTGCGGATTTTTCTTTGAGCTCCGTTTCCCATTCATTGTTTTGTGTATATATATATATATATATATATTTTAAGGGCAAACTAGGAATTTTATTATGGGCTGAAGTGAAAATAAATTTCCTACTTTTCAGTTTCCGAATTCGAACCAAGCATCAAATGATAAAGTTTTCACTAAGCGTGTATGCTTTTCTTACTATATTTGGTCCAAAACAAAATATTTAAAATCCTTCATTATAAATTTTAAATTTTTACTTAAAATTTCAGATCTTTACAATAATAGTAATATAATTAAAGAATTATGAAAAAATTAAATTGTCAAACAAAAATTAAAAAGAATGAAAAAAATCTGATATATTGAAGTCTAATGAGAACATTTCTAATTTTAATAATAATTACATACCAAAATTATTACATACCAAAATTTTTAATTTTAATAATAATTTTTTTTTAGGTCATCAGAGCATGGGAGTATTGTGGTAATTTGGGACACCCCACATTAGGTCCTCGCAAGACTTTTTTTTTTTTTGACCAATCATGCATATAGAAAGGACTAGTTGGAACTAAATAGGGTAAGCTGAAATCTACATACACTCTCCCTCTACAGGTCTTTTAAAATTTCTTTCACGTATTAAAAAATATAACCAATACACAGAAATATTGACTATATTGTCGAATTTATCTCTAAGCTTAATAAAGATTTTTGAACTTGTTGGAGTAAATAAGACTACATTACGAAAAATATTAAATACTATTTTGAACTTTTAAAAAGACATACAAAATAAAACACAAAATTTTCCCTAAAAAATATATATTTTAAAATAGAGGGAGCACGAAGCATGTGGTGGGTGGCTGTGGACAGCAAACGATGGTGATATTTCGAGATTACAAGTGAAAGCAAATGATGAGATGAATACATGATTGTCCTATATATGTAATATTGGAACAAAAGCCACAAGCTTTAATTTCCAGCCACGTACTATTTATTTTTGTGTCTCTTTTTGACTCCCAACCCACTCGATCAAACCTCCAAACGGATATCTGGCTTTGAGGGGAAAAAATCTAACGGATAATGCTCCTCCCCGCCCCTTTTCTAACTTCTGTCTTTTCTTTTTAGGAATGCAATAGCCATGCAAGTTCTTGCTCAGAACACTTGGTCATGGTGAGGGTCATTTATTTCCTGTGGCTATACTTTGATTGAATCCCATTCTCTTGGCTCGTCTGATCATAATGTTACATGCATATAGGAGAAACCGAAAAAGCTCTCTCTGGAGTCAAACTATTTCAGGGCGTCAAGTGTGAGTAGGCCCAAGCTAATATAACAAGTCTCTCATTAAGCTTAAAAACTAATATACAATGATATCCAAAAAAAAAAACTTAATACACAACAAAAGAGAAAAACTATAAACTTTAGCTTTAGAATTTTGAGCGAAGATGCAGTATCCTTTTGTTATTTTTATCCACCCGTTCTCTTCCCCTATTTCCGAGCAGTTACTCCCAAGTTTTGACATTATATGTATAGTATGTACCAATTAATTCATATTCAAACATTATTAGATTCAAATATAAACGAGGAATCACGAATGTAACTCATTCAATGTTGTTCTGCTGCAAATAATTGGTAAAAGAAGTATTTAACCACCTCTTCATATATATATATAAACAGTACAGCTCATGTTAACAGAACTTGTTAGAATTTTTATATTATATATAAAATATAGATTTCAATGAGCACCATGAGATACCAAACTGCAACCTAATAAATGACACACACGATCTATGAAGGGGGTGATCCTGGAAGCATTCATCTGTTCAACATTAACAAAGTCTACAAGGTTGCATTGATTTATTGGTCAGGTGTGAGCTAAAATGGAGAACATAAAGGCAAGCACATTTTCACAGGATAATAGGCATAATGTTGGAGGAATTTTTCACTTGTTAGTGCAAAGTATAATGCGACGGGCAGACAATGACGAGTCAGAAGCCAAGGATGAAGCTTTTGTTTTCGTTTTTTGGCCGAAGGAAGAAGCTTAGTTAATATACATGATATGTCCAAGGCTCCAAGCTGTGCTACTCAAGATTCACTGTCCCCCGAAATGCATTTTAGGAGCAACAAGCACCGTTCTCAGATGATCGGGGTTCCTGTTTCTGCTTTAGAATATTCCTTTTAACTGAGGTTGATCCTTCTTCCAAAAGACTAGGAACTTCCATTATCTATCAAACAACAGCCGATTTGTTATCAATGTATAGGGGTAAACAATGTACAGAATAATCTGAGAGTCTCAAATGTACCTTCAGAGCAAGTTCCTCGAAGCATTTCTCCACATTTTCTCTAGTTTTAGCACTGCATTCAAGAAACAAAGAGCCCAACTCTTCGGCGAGGGCTGAGCCCTCTTCTCTGCTCACAACCCTTTCAGAATCCTGAACACAAATAAATAACCATCAAGCAAACTAATGAACAGAACACGTCAGGAAAAAAATTATGCTAGTAAAAGACCCCTGGAAATAAGCAGTTCCAGCCTAGATTTCAAAAGATGATTCTCCTAAACATGCAGGGCTTTGCCCTTTGTGAAGTGAGCTGCTTTTCATTTCATTTATTAAGATCTTAGCTTGTTGCCTATGTCACCATGGTCTATTCTTCCTAAAGCTGTCGTAGTAGTACATATTAACTAGACTTGTGCCTCACTGAGCAGAGACACAGGGTAGACAACCTGAATTTTCTTTCATTACCCTTGTAAATGGAGATGAGCTCAAAACTTTATATTTCATCATGCTACATTACTATATTTCCCTGTACTTTTATTGACGGAATATTTCCCTGTAATAACCAATTCCTTCCCATACCTTGTATAAATAAATACAAAATCATAGCAAAAATCTTACCCTGTCAACTTTGTTTCCAACTAGCATCTTCACACAATCCTGATTAGTTGAATAGAGTTCCACTTCCTTAGACCATATTTCTGATAAGTTTGTGAATGTGTCTCTCCTTGTGACATCATAAACTAAAATGAGAGCAAACAATAAGCATTGTATTAAACTATAATTCCCAACAATGGAAATGATTCCTTTTAAATGCTTAATTTGGTCATCATATATCAGACCTCACTCCAACATAACAGATGCCATGAAAACCACCAATAAAAGTATCAAGAGTCACGTAGCTCAAAACAAGTCTCACCCACCAAATTTTCCATAAAGCAATTCTCTACAGAGTCTTCTAGCCAGAACTCAACATGGAGATAGATTTTGGGATTAGTTTAGCATACCCAGAATGATTCCTTGCGCTCCTCTATAATATGAACTTGTTAGAGTTCTGAACCTTTCCTGCCCAGCTGCAAAACAGATATAACGTTTCACAAAAGGGAAAGCATTACTGAACAGTCACTTGTGTCAATGGACATATGGTCCACATGATATAAATAAGGGAAAGAATATATTCCACTCTATTTGTTTGCTTCCACAAGTCTAGTTGCGGAAGTATTATTGATGAGAAAAAAGAGCCTGATTTCATGAATCAAATGGAAGCACAAGATTTGGGCACAAGTTACCAGTATCCCAAATTGTTAATTTCAATTTCTTCCCACCTACAGTGAGCTGCTTGATCTTAAAATCAACGCCTGCAGATGATGAAGACAAAAGAGCAGTTAGATTAGATCATTTCAGAAACGGAAAGATGCTTCTTAAGGGTTCGAGGTTGGTCTGCCACCTTATCATTGAAACGAACTTAAAAAGTTCCAACCCAGAAAGTGGATTGTAAATTTAAAATAGAAAATCAGCAGATACTGTTTGCTTGACACGAATCTATAAGAAATATCACAAAATCCCTTGGCTGTTCTGTTCAGAACTTCAGATTGGTGGTGGAAAATAGCAATCAAGATGTCAGAGTCATGTCATGATAGGTTCAAGTCCGAGATTTCCAGAGGAACTTGATAGAATGAATAAGCAAATGAGAGCTTAGATAAATACCAATGGTTGGGGCAAGATCTTCAAGAGAACTGGATATGAAGCTGACGAGTAGACTACTTTTTCCCACACCGGAGTCGCCGATCAACAAGATCTTGAAAGAGAGATCATAGCCACTGCTCTGACCTGAAGATGAACTCATTATCTCTCTCCCCCGCTCTCTCCCCTTCTCTCTATAGTGAATCCTTTTCTAATGGACTCTCTCTCTCTCTCTATCTATCTAGAAAGTACAGTGAAAGAAACATGTATATATAAAGTCGGTGTGGGTGGGGTGGGGGAGAGCAAGAGGGAGAGATGTAAGAGAAGAAAAGGAGAAAAGCTTAAAGACACCCCTGTAATGAAGTGCAATGGGGCATCTTTCTTTTGATTAAAGAAAACGGCTACCTTGGTCTGAGTTTCTACTTTCTTCAGACTCAGCTGAGTCACGAACGTATTTATTCTTTTCTTTTTCCGAGCTTATAAATTCCCCAACTTCAAATATGCGGTGCCCAATTTAGAAACTCCAAGCCCCACGTGTGAGGGATTGGGATGGTTTGCTCCGTAAGCAATGCTCTTTAAAGATGTTCGCTTTTGTGTTTTCACCTGTTGGTAAGGTATAGGTACCTTTTCAAGCCAACAATCATATTACTGACCGAATGAAAAAGGGATACTAGTCGATTAAGGCAGGCACAGACTCTCAAAAACAGCATCATCCTTGTCTTTCATCTCTATACTGAAAACTTCAATGCCAGAGCTTCTTCTTTACCATTATTATTCGTTTTCGGAACTTGCTAAAGTCATTGTTTTTAATGTGAACAATACCTTCATAGCGTCTAGGTGATGGCTAATTACATTCAAATCATATGAAAGGGGAATGACTCGGCATTTGGGATGATCTTAATACGAAAAAAGGAAAACATTCAAAGAATAGATGTTGATGAACCAGTTGGGCGTGAAAAAATGATATGACCCATTGGGTGAAGAGGCACTCTCAAATGCTTGAAAAGCAAAATAACAAAACCACGGATGTGATGTTTGGGTGGGAGGTCACTATTTGTTTTTTTCTTTCATCGCATGTTTCTTCAGAAATCATAATACACTATATCCATTCAAGGCACCTCGAAAATGTTTCCTTTCTCCCAGCTGTTTTTGAATCCCTAAAATTAATGAGACATGTAATAGCACCGTAATAACAATGCGTTTCCGTGGGACTCTTTTCCGATGTTGGCGGGACTGCATAAGAGAGTACAGCTTTCTTTATTTTGTATCATAGGAAAATACCAGATAACAGGGAACAAGAACAGAAAAATAAGGGAATGCGAAGCATCGAGGGGGATCATGATTTCTGAGCTAGGATATTGAGAAGCATGTGGATGAAGAGCTTTAATGTATTGGTGGAAAGCTGACAGCGAAAAGAGTTACTTGATATAAAGAAACAGAAACTTTGGTGCTTGTGCTTGATTGATTCGGATGTCCCACATCTTGATGGAATCGGGGGTTATCATGCCTGTGGTTTGCCTTTATTCTGCCCTTTCCCGCAGGTTCGTCCCCACGACCCCACCCCTTCACCACTCTCTCCGGCTTCCCGCTTCTGACAGGCTCACAAATCACTGTATGGTTTTTTTTTTTTGTAAATTTTAAAAACTAAATTGAAAGAACAATTACCTTTCTCATTCTTCACAAAAAAAATATTGCCTATATATATATATATATATATTAATATATTAATGTTGATATTCATATTTTAAAAAAGTTACAATTTGGGGGTACCTCTAGAATAAAAATAATTTTATGGCATTGAAAAATTTAAATTATAATTTTGGATAACATAAACAATAATTTTAAAATATCGATGATAACCTATTTTTTTGGTGGAGATTTTTATTTATAAAATTTAGATTTCTATTAATATAAGTGTTGATTTCCGAAAAAAAAGGAACCAAAATTATCGTTTTTTTTAGGGAAAAATTGGTTAAATTATGAAGTATTTCAATATTTTTCATTTCAAAACTCAAATTTTCTTTAAATAAAAAATAGGAAAAATTGCTAAAAGTTATCTTACCACAAATTCAATTGTGGAGAGCAACTTGAAAATTTTCTAAGAGGAGGTCCTTTATTGGCATTAATTTGGAGCTATAAATGGCCAAATTGACCTTATGATTAAAAAATAAAAAAGTTGAGCAAGATCCTTTATTGCCATATATTGCATAAGGTGCTTCACTATTGATATAAGACAATGTTCTTTGTTGTCAATAATTTCATGTTAATACTTAAAAGGTTCTTTTACAACAATTTATTGAGCCCTAAAGCACATTTGAAGCATATGAGATGTTTCTTCCACAACATGCTACTAATTTTTGACAAAATGTAATTTTCTTCCATATATTCGAATATCACATTTGTGTATCCAAATATCATTTGCTAAAATCCCTTGTGGATACCTTTAGCTGTATATGCAATGGTTTTTTTCATGATATGCAATTGCTTTTTAATGAAATGCAACTTTCTTTCATATATTTAAATATCACTTTTGCATATTCAAATATCTCTTGTTAAAATCAATTATGAATATCTTTAGATATGCGTATGTGATGTTTTTTCCACAATATGCAACTGCTTTTTAATGAAATGTGATTTTATTTCACATATTCAAATGTCACTTTCACATATTCAAATATTCCTTGTTAAAATCTCTTATAGGCCTTTGGAAACATATGCGATGTTTCTTCCACGACATGCGACTGCTCTTAAATGAAATGCAATTTTCTTCTATACATTTAAACTTCACTTATGCACATTCAAATATTCCTTGTTAAAATTCTCTGTGGATAACTTTGGATGCATATGCAATATTTCTTCCACAATATTTGACTGCTCTTTAATGTAATTTCTTCCATATATTTGAATATCACTTCTATATATTCAAATATCCCTTGTTAAAATTTCTTATAGACACATTTGAATGTATATTCAATGTTTTTTCCATTATATACAACTGATCTTCAATTAAATGTACTTTTCTTTCATATATTTAAATATCACAAATACATACTTGAATCAATGGAAGCCAATTGCATTTTCTTGAAGGTTGATTACATGTTATGGAAGAAGGGTTGTACATGATTAAAGAGACTTGCATATTGTCTTAAGACATAACATTAAGTATAAATTTTCAAGATATCCAATTTTCATATTCGAATGTTACACCAGGACATTATTTTCAAGACATGTAATCTCATTTCAATTTTTAGGATATTCATTTGTGAGATTCGAGTAAAATGAAGGTCAGGAATGAAATGTAGCCTCTATTACCTCAATCTTTAAGATATTTGTTCTTTTGATTTCAATATGGCTTAGAACTTGAATTTAATATATTGCACCAACATTGTGTTTTTTGTATATTGCTAATGTATGCTCGAATATGGTTATATATAACATCGCGTTTTCAGGATATCGTAAATGTATATTTGGATACTAGCATGCCTATAAACAAGATAACAATGGGAGTAAATAATTGTATTCAAAAATTCATTTATCATTATACAAGAGTATGTTCTCACATCCCTTGACAATATAAACTACATTATAAGAAGATAAAATAAATAATCAACTACACATAACAAGAAATCATTTACATATTAAATGCTTTTCCACATCAATAAAGCAATTAACAATCACCACATAAGTAGGGCAATGTTCATTCTTCAAAGCCTTTGAATGTTTTCTCAAGAAACTTTCAGCTTTTAGCCCATCTGCTCATCCTATTCGCTCATAATAGTCATGTAAGCCAAGGCCCTCCACATCCACATCCACAAGTTATCATAATAGTCATGCCCATTGTTGTTGCATGATCTTATGGAAAGAGACTCGAGTTAGAGATAAACATGTAAAGGAAAAATGCTCTATTGCAAAATTAGGAGAAAATTGCAAGCAAATCACCTCACTTGACTTCACCAAATGAAATATGTTAATTTTCTTGTAACTGTTATGTATAAAAGTCTAAATGTCAATCAAGGAAATCAAATGTCCCTAACATTTGAATTATACTCCCTTCATTTTTATTTATAAAAGAAACTATCACTTTTAGTTAGTTTTTTTTATATAAGCAAAATCACATTTTTCAATAATAATTTATGGCAAACTTCCTTAATTACCCCTTATAATTTTATCATTCATAATCATAAGAAACAATTAATAAAAGCTTGATTAACATAATTAATGAAAGGTACTGTAGTTTAATTCTTTTATTTTCAGACGTAATTAATATATTTAACTAATTTTGTTAAGCAATGTGATGCAGTTTTTTTCTCTTGGAAATAAAAACGGAAGGAGTAAGATTTAGGTTGCACCACTACCCACACATGATTGATCTAGAACAAATAATGCAACTTCAAGAGTTTAGGTCTACTACCCATGCATGTCATGTAGGATAGGTTATAAAGCTAGAATCATCAAAATTCAATAGAAGCAAATAATTCCAAGCTTCTATGTAATAAGTTCTAGCATTGTAAGAACTAATAATTAAGCCTGTAAGGCAGTACCAACACCACAAATTCCAGCATTTGGTCTCTTCATCTTCATCTAACTTCCTTGAAAAACATTGACAATTACATAATCTCCAAGAAACATAACATGAGATATATAAGAAAATAGTATTATCAATGAAATATAAACCATGCATGACTTTTGAAATACAATTCATGACTTTGGACTTTGAAACTTATAGAAAGAAGATCTCAAACTGTGTGAAAAGTGAAAGGGACACGAACAATTTACCTTGCCGTGAATGTTCACCGCTTTATTGTCAAAAAAGGGTTGCGGCCGGTGGATGTTGCTTTATCACTGCCTATGCTTTCTCGCACAGGACTAGATCCAAATCATGTTTGTTAGAAACTTAGCTTCTGGGACCAATTTCCTACAACAAAACAAACTTAAAAGCTTAAATTGACAAGAATAAGAAAAATCACCAAATTTAAAACTTATTTTTGAGAATCAATTAACTCTAATTTTTCCATTTGCTTCAAATTGTGAATATATGATAATAGAACATATTTTCATATATTTTTATCCTATTCACTGGGTCTTTTTATTGATTAATTATGACTAACTAAGATTAATTAAAATATATTCTATTTTATTGGTCACTTTATATTTTGTGAGAATTAATGGATTAAATCTTTAAAATTATATCACCATTTAATATTTTTTGCACATGTCGCTATTAAATATTATTTTTTTGTGCAAATTTTTTTAGCTAAATTGAAGATCAATAATATGCATGGATTATTGAATTGAAAAGGAAGGAATATAAATAGTAATCGAAAAATGCACAAGTGTTTGGGAATTGGGAGAGAAGGAGTAGAGGCCGAACATGAGAAACTCGAGCTTCTTCTTCTTTTTCTTCTCTTTA